GTATTATTATGTAGTATATACGATGGGGGGGTATATATGGGGTGTATTATTATGTAGTATATACGATGGGGGGGTAATATATGGGGTGTATTATATGTAGTATTATACGATGGGGGGGGGTATATATGGGTGTATTATTATGTAGTATATACGATGGGGGGGTATATTTTACGGGGGTGTATGTATTATGTAGTAATATACGATGGGGGGTTATATATGGGGTTTGTATTATTATGTAGTATATACGATGGGGGGTTATAATATGGGGTGTTATTATTATGTAGTATATATGATGGGGGGGGGTTATAATATATAATGTGAATTTGGGGGGTTTTATTGGACCATTATAAATATATTTAACGATGTTTTAATATTATATTGGACCATTATATAATATATACGATGATTATGGGGGGGGTTATATTGGACCATTATATAATATAATACGATGGGGGGGGATTATATTGTTCATTATATAGTTTTTATATACGATGGGGGGTTATATTGACGTGTTTGTACCATTATTTAATATATTGATGGGGGGGGGAATATATTGGGATTGTACCATTATATAATATATACGATGGGGGGGTTATATTGGACCATTATATAATAGATATAGTTGGGTATTTATATTAGGACTAATTATTAATATAAAAATACATTTTAATTTTTATATTGGACCATTATATAATATATACGATGGGGGGGGTTATATTGGACCATTATATTAATATATATACATTGGGGGGGTATATATTGGACCATTATATAATATATATACGATTTGGGGGGTTATATTGGACCATTTTATACATATATACGAAATGGGGGGGATTTATTGGACCATTATATAAATATATACGATGGGGGGGTAATATTGAACCATTATATAATATATACGATGGGGGGGGGGGATTATACGGGATTGAATTATATAATATATACGATGGGGGGTTTTAGGAATTGGAACCATTATATAATATATAGGATGGGGGGTTATATTAAATAATTTTATATAAATATATACGATTGGGGGGTTATATTGTAATTATATATATATTATATACGCATTTTATATATATTTTTATACTTTGTACCATTATTAATATATACAGTGGCCGAAATTGTTTTGGCGATTTATACATTATTTTTCCTGATTAATAAATCAAGTATTTCATACAAAAAAGGTTTTAAATTAAAACATTTTTTGCTATTATATAATGTTTACATCCTTTGGGGTATTGGAACAAATATAAAAAAAACAGAGGCAGAAAATAAAATATGACATAATGTCACACAAAACCCCAAAAATGGGCTGGACAAAAGTATTGGCACCCTTAACTTAATATTTGGTTGCACACCTTTGGAAAACATAACTGAAATCAGTCGCTTCCTATAACCATCAATAAGCTTCTGACACCTCTCACCGGAATTTTGGACCACTCTTCCTTTGCAAACAGCTCCAGGTCTCTCTTATTGGAAGGACACCTTTTCCCAACAGCAATTTTAAGATCTCTCCACAGGTTGTTCAATGGGATTTAGATCTGGGCTCATTGCTTACGATATTCAGAACTCTCCAGCGCTTCTTTGCCATCCATTTCTGAGTGCTTTTTTGACGTATGTTTGGGGTCATTGTCCTGCTGGAAGACCCAGGATCTTGGACGCAAACCCAGCTTTCTGACACTGGGCCCTACAGTGCGACCCAAAATCCTTTGGTAATCCTCAGATTTAATGATGCCTTGCACACAGTCAAGGCACCCAGTGCCAGAGGCACTTAAAACAACCCCAAAACATCATTGAACCTCACCATTTTTTACCGTAGGTACTGTGTTTTTGTTCTTTGTAGGCCTCATTCCGTTTTCGGTAAACAGTAGAATGATGTGCTTTTACCGAAAAGCTCTATCTTGGTCTCATCTGTCCACAAGACGTTTTCCCAGAAGGCTTTTGGCTTATCAAGTACATTTTGGCAAACTGTAGTCTTGGATTTTTTATGTCTCTGTGTCAGCTAGTGGGGTCCTCCTGGGTCTCCTGCCATAGCGTTTCATTTCATTTAAATGTCGACGGATAGTTCGCGCTGACACTGATGCTCCCTGAGCCTGCAGGGACAGCTTGAATGTCTTTGGAACATGTTTGGGGCTGCTTATCCAATTTTCCGGACTATTCTGCGTTGCAATCTTTCATCAATTTTCCTCATCCGTTCCACGATAGGGAGATTAGCTACAGTGCCATGGGTTGCAAACTTCTTGATAATGTTGCGCACTGTGTTACAAAAATAAAAATATAGTTCTCTGGTAGGGGGTTGTAACCTTGAGATTGTTGATATTTTGCCAAATTTTGGTTCTCAGGTCCTCAGATTTAATAGTTCTCGTCTCCTCTTAACTGTTGTCCATGCTTAGTGTAATATATACAGACACATGACATTTTTTTGCAAAGGTTAATATACGGTGAACGTCTCTCCATTTTTATCTGCTATTCATTGTATTTCTATATTGCCCACATTGTTACTTATATTATGGGGGTATTTTATGGAATCACATGCTTGTAACATTTTATTTATCCGCAGTTGTACAAGGGTGCGTATATATTGTCCAGCCCATTAAACGGGAAAATAGGGGTGTGATATTATGTATTTGCTTATTTATTCTTATTATATTAGGTTTTTATCCCAATACCAAAAAGGGAATAAACATAATGTATTGTATGTCGGAGTTATTTAATATATACGGGTTTGTAGGGGGATAATTATATAGTCTTCATGGAATGTATATAATATATACGATGGGGGGGTTTATTGGACAATATATATATATATACGATGGGGGGTTATATTTATTCAGCTTTAATAAGATATATACATTGGGGGGGTTATATTACCATTATATAATATATATAGTTATATTATTTTTTATATAATAATACGGAGATGGGGGGGGTTATATTGGACCATTATTAATATATAATATATTGGGGGGGTTATTATATATTGGACCATTATATAATTTATATATTTGGTGGGGGGGTTTTATATTGGACATATATTATAATTATACAAGATTGGTTGGGGGGTTATATTGGTCCATATATGGTTTATTAATATATACATTGGGGGGGATTTTATTGGACCATTATATAATATATTTCGATAAAACCAATTATATTGGACCATTATTTAATATATACATGTGGGGGGGTTTATATTGGACCATTATTATAACGCGATATATACGATACATTGGGGGGGTATATTGGACCATTATATATAATATATACGATGGGGGGGTTATATTGGACCATTATATAATATATACATGGGGGGGTTTATATTGGACCATATTATATAATATATACGATGGGGGGGGTTATATTGGACCATTATATAATATATATACGATTGGGGGGTTATATTGGACCATTATATAATATATACGATTGGGGGGGGGTTATATTGGACCATTATATAATATATACGATGGGGGGTTATATTGGACCATTATTAATATATTGGGGGGGGACCATTATATAATATATACATTGGGGGGTTTATATTGGACCATTTTATAATATATACGATGGGGGGGATTTGGGATGGGGGGGTTATATTGGACCATTATATAATATATTATATATAATATATGATTGGGGGGTTGTATTATATTGGACCATTATATTAATATATACGATGGGGGGGGGTTTATATTGGATTGTCCATTATATAATATATACGATATTGATTTTTTATATTGGACCATTATATAATAGGATACATGGGGGGTTATATTGGACCATTATATAATATATACGATGGGGGGGGTTATATTGGACCATTATATAATATATACGATGGGGGGGTTATATTGGACCATTATATAATATATACGATGGGGGGGGTTTATATTGGACCATTATATAATATATACGATGGGGGGGTTTATATTGGACCATTATATAATATATACGATGGGGGGGGTTATATTGGACCATTATATTATATACGATGGGGGGGTTATATTGGACCATTATATAATATATACGATGGGGGGGGGGTTTATATTGGACCATTATATAATATATACGATGGGGGGGGGACCATTATATAATATATACGATGGGGGGGGGTTTATATTGGACCATTATATAATATATACGATGGGGGGGGTTTATATTGGACCATTATATAATATATACGATGGGGGGGGGGTTTATATTAAACCATTATATAATATATACGATGGGGGGGGGTTATATTGGACCATTATATAATATATACGATGGGGGGGGGTTATATTGGACCATTATATATATATACACGATGGGGGGGGGTTTATATTGGACCATTATATAATATATACATGGGGGGGGGGTTTATATTGGACCATTATATAATATACACGATGGGGGGGGGTATTGGACCATTATATAATATACCGATGGGGGGGTATATATTGGACCATTATATAATATATACGATGGGGGGGTTTATATTGGACCATTATATAATATATACGATGGGGGGGGGGGAAAATTTATATTGGACCATTATATAAATATATCTCCCCCCCGTCCCTTTGTCTGCATTCCCCGGTCTGGCGCCCCCTCTGCTGGCCGCAGTCGGTATCGCCGCTCCGGCATCTCCGGTTGTCATTCACCTCCCGGTCGTCTCTCCGGCAGCATCGCCGGCATCTCTCGCTGTGACCGGTCCGGGATCGGAGCTCATCTGAGGGACTTGTGGTGTTTCCGGGGCCCCTGATGGCGGTGGAGGTGTGAGGGGCCCCCAGCCTTGCAGTGGGTGCAGCCCCTCCCCCACCCTGGTGATTGGCAGGGGCAGATGTTCAGCTGGGATCTGGTTGCACTGCCTTGCTCCTCTAGCATGGCATAGTCATGTTGTCCAGGAAGGGACTGATCCCCGAGGAATATGTTCTGACCACCCGCCTGGCCGAGGACCTCAATGAGCCGCGGTACAAAGCCAAGGAACGCCGGGCCGCGCTTCGTGGCCAAGAATGGCACCTGCAATGTGGCCCACAAGAACATCCGGGGAGCAGGGCCGCTTCCTGCTGGACGTCTTCACCACCGTGGTGGACCTCAAGTGGCACTACACCCTCCTGATCTTCACCATGTCCTTCCTCTGCACCTGGCTCCTCTTCGGGATGATCTGGTGGCTCATCGCCTTCGCCCACGGCGACCTGGACTACAACCAGGAGGACTTTGTGCCGTGCGTGACCAGCGTCCAGTCCTTCACCGCCGCCTTCCTCTTCTCCATTGAGGTGCAGGTCACCATCGGCTTTGGGGGGCGAATGATAACGGAGGAATGCCCCTCCGCCATCTTGGTCCTCATCGTCCAGAACATCGTTGGGTTGGTCATCAATGCCATCATGTTGGGTTGTATCTTCATGAAGACGGCGCAGGCCCACCGCCGAGCGGAGACCCTCATCTTCAGCAAGCACGCCGTCATCGGCCTGAGGAACGGTAAGCTCTGCTTCATGTTCCGGGTGGGCGACCTGAGGAAGAGCATGATCATCAGCGCCACCATCCGCATGCAGGTGGTCCGCAAGTCCAACAGCCTGGAGGGCGAAGTTCTGCCCCTCAACCAGATCGATATCCAGATGGAGAACCCCATCAGCACCAACGGGATATTCCTGGTGTCACCTCTCATCATCTGCCACACCATCACCAGGGACAGTCCCCTCTACGACATCTCGTCCTCCGACCTCACCCACCAAGAGGACCTGGAGATCGTCGTCATCCTGGAAGGGGTGGTGGAGACCACCGGCATCACAAACACAAGCCAGGACTTCCTACTTGGCCGACGAGATCCTCTGGGGCCAACGCTTTGTCCCCATTGTGGCCGAGGAAGACGGAAGGTACTCGGTGGACTACTCCAAGTTTGGTAACACGGTGAAAGCCCCGACGCCCAATTGTACGGCCAGACAGCTGGACGAGGATCGCAGACAGCAACCTGGACAGCATCTCCCCGAAGAGCACCGTCCGAAAACGCAATATGAAGACCGTCAAGGTAAAGCCAAAGTTCACTTTGTTTACCGATGAGCCCACCTGACCCCCCAGGGGCCCCGGGGCCAATATTCATCTATGCAGGACCTGGTCGCCCCTCCGCTGGCATGAAGAGGGTGGGAAGTCTCCATAGATAAGACGCTTGACTGCTTTTATAATATTTGATCCTTTGTTTACCGATGAGCCCACCTGACCCCCCAGGGGCCCCGGGGCCAATATTCATCAATGCAGGACTGGTCGCCCCACCGCCGGCATGAAGAGGGTCGGAGTGGGAAGTTTTCTATAGACAAAGACGCTTAGCTGGTTTTATAATATTTGATCCTTTGTTTACTGATGAGCCCACCTGACCCCCCTGGGATCAGGATCCAGGCACCCTAGGGGCCCCGGGGGCCAATATTCATCTATGCAGGACCTGGGTCGCCCCCCCCCCCAGAAAGAAGAGGGTGGGAAGTTTCTATAGATAAGACGCTTAGCTGGTTTTATAATATTTGATCCTTTGTTTACCGATGAGCCCACCTGACTCCCCTGGGGCCCGTAGGGGCCAATAATTCATCATCGCAGGACTGGTCGCGCCCTCCGCCGGAATGAAGAGGGTCGGAAGTTTCTATAGATAAGAGGCTTCACTTGCTTTTATAATATTTTGATCCTTTGTTTTACCAAATGAGCCCACCTGTCCCCCCTGGGATAGGGCATCCAGGCACCCTAGGAGCCTGACCCCCGGGGCCAATATTCATCTATACAGGACTGGTTGCCCCTCCCCCGAAATGAAGAGGGTGGGAAGTTTCTATAGATAAGACGCTTTGCTGGTTTTATCAATATATTTTGATCCTTTGTTTTTATTATTGCACTTATTATGCTGCACCGAGGAACGGGAAACTTCCCAGACTGGTTACCGGGAGCCCCAGCATTGTGAGCCTCAGCAGTGAAGCGGGGCTTGTGTTGCTAATAATAGAGAGGCTATTGCTGCGTTAATCCTGCCATTACTGAGTCCTCAGATCTCTTTATTTCATTATCTGCGGACTTATTAAGTCAGTGCGAGGCGAGCAGACTTAGTGTCACCTCCCAGTGAGCTCTGAGACACAAGTCGATCTGCATGCTGCTGGTGCTACCAGGACGCACTCTAGTCATGTACAGTTGGCTAGATGGTAACCGACGTGTGCCTTCTCTAATCGTGAGCGTCGTACTGACTTTCTGACGAATCAATCATCGATGTGATTATAATCGTATGTTGATTGTGTCCCTAGTCCCTTGCGCTCCCGGACACGAAGACGTCTGCTGGACGGCCTGCAGCAGCAGCTATCTGAGTATAGCCCAGCCCAGTCATTCCCCCTTGGCTGCCTCCAGACCTATGGAACCCCGTGGGCCCCCCCGGCAGATACCGTATATACATGTCAGAGGTGTCTATGTTAACGTCTGTGTGCCCCCCCCCCATACAGAGTGGCGGTGCGGGGGAGGCCAATTGAAAACCGGAGTCTGTGGAGCGCCAGAAATATATACTGAGAAACATCATTTCCACGATGTGGGGGGATACAGAATAGTGTACATTGTGTGACGCCTGTATACAGTATACCTAAACCTGGGAGGGGGATAGCGGGCCGGGTGTACTTTAATATGATATATATACTACAGAGGACCCTCCAGAAATAAACCCCGGAAGCGCCCCCCCCCCCACACACACAGATACAAACGAATAATACATCCTACAGGTCTCTAATGTATATCTGTGTTGTGTGGGGGGGTGGGTATATATATACCTGTCGGGGGGGGTGTTGGGGGGTGTAGTATATATAGAAAGGGAGATCTGTGTGTGTCACGGGGGTGTATATATAAGCCTGTGTGTGGGGGGATGTATATATATGCGGATAGTACCTCGGTGTGTGATTGGGGGTGTATATATAACCTTGGTGTGTGGGGGGGGGGTGTATATGTTAGTGGGCCTGTGCGGTGTTGTGGGGGGTTTATATAGCTGTGTGTGTGTGGGGGTGTATATATACCTCTGTGGGGGGGGGGTGTATAATTATACCTGTGTGTGGGGGGGCTTTGGTATATATATAGCTGTGTGTGTGTGGGGGTGTATATATACCCTGTGTGGGGGGGTGTATATATACCTCTGTGTTGTGTGGGGTGTATATATATATATAGATACCTGTGTGTGGGGGGTTGCATATATTATATACCTGTGGTGTGGGGGGTGTATATACATACCTGTGTGGGGGGGGTGTATATATATATACCTGTGTGTGGGGGGTGTATATACATAACCTGTTTGTGGGGGGTGCATATTATATATACCTGTGTGTGTGGGGGGTGTATAATACATACCTGTGTGGGGGGGTTTGTATATATATAATACCTGTGTGCATCATGAACGATCTTCAGTATATATATATATTCCCACAACTCGTTTGACATTTATGAGTTTTAAACCCCCTCCCCCTCCTGAGGATTCCCCCCCGGCCCATTTTTTGTGATACTGCGCTGCATAACTTTAACTGACAATTGCGCGGTCATGCAACGCCACATACATCTACAAGGTGCTGTGCAGTGGATTTTTTTCTTGTATATATATATAATATATATATATAGTATATATATTCACCCACACACAGGTATATATATAATATCCACCCACTCACAGGTATTATATATATATATTCACCCACACTCACACAGGTATATATATATATATTCACCCCACACACAGGTATATATATATATATATATATATATATATTGCGCCCACCACACACAGGTATATATATATATATTCACCCACACACAGGTATATATATGAAAGTTTCTGTCCTTTCCCCGGGAATAGATCGTTCTCTCTCAAATTCCATCCTCTCTGCGGTTTTATTTTTTGTGCTATAAAAAAAAAAAGATGGATAATTTTGAGGAAAAAACAATATTTGTGACTTTTTGCTATAAAACGTCCAGTAAAAAAAATTAAAAAACAAATTTCGTCATAAATTTCGGCCAAAATGTCTCCCGCTCCGTGTCTTCGCCATCACCTCCAGCTCCGTGTCTGCGCCGTCGCACCCCGCTCCGTGTTTTCTCCGCCACCTCCCGCTCCGTGTATGCGGCGTCCCACCCCGCTCCGTGTCTCCGCCGTCGCAAACTCACCGCACCCCGCTCCGTGTCTCCCGCCGTCCCACCCCGCTCCGTGTCTTCGCCGTCACCCTCCTGCTCCGTGTCTGTGCCATCACACCCCGCTCCGTGTCTTCGCCGTCCCACCCCGCTCCGTGTCTTCGCCGTCCCACAGTTTGTTTGGCTCCTTTTTAAATCATGATAACAGAAATCACCCAAATGGCCCAGAGCAGAAGTCTCTCCGCCCCCCCCCCATCAGAAGTCTCCGTCCACCCTCCCGGATCAGAAGTCTCCACCTCCCGGATCAGAAGTCTCCAACCCCAGATCAGAAGTCTCCACCCCCCGGATCAGAAGTCTCCGCCCCTGGAAGGTCTCCGGCCTTGGTACAGACACACAAGGTGACACACACGTGACACACGGGTTACAATGCCAGTTAGAGGTTCATGTCCCACATCTGTGGCTTCTTACATCACAATCAGTGTCAGTGTATAAATGGTCGGTGAGTTTGTTCGCTCTCACATGGAAGCACTGACTAGGCTAGATACTGAGCCATGGGGAGCAGAAAAGAACTGCCAAAAGTCCTGCGTAATAAGGTCATGGAACTTTATAAAGAAGGAAAAGGACATAAAAAGATGTCCAAAGCCTTGAATCTGCCAATCAGTGCTGTTATATCACCTATTAAGAAGTGGAAAGTTCGGGGATCTCCTGATACCAAGCCAAGGCCAGGGAGACCAAGAAAGATGGCAGCCACAACTGACAGACGAATTGTCCGGGATACAAAGAGAACCCCCCACAGGTGACCTCAGGAGAAATCCAGGCTGTTCTGGGAAAAGACATCGAGGTTGTGTTTAAGAAGTACAATACTGTGACACCTGAACAAAAATGAGCTGCATGGTGGAGGTGCCAGAAAGAAGCTTTTACTGATCAGACTTCTGATCTGGGGGCGGAGACTTCTGATCTGGGGGGGCGGAGACTTCTGATCCGGGGGGACGGAGACTTCTGATCCGGGGGGACGGAGACTTCTGATCCGGGGGGACGGAGACTTCTGATCCGGGGGGACGTTAAAATTAGAGACTTCTGATCCGGGGGACGGAGACATGTTCTGATCCAGGCCACATTTTGGGATTTCTGTTAAAATTAGGGAATCTCCCTCCCATGGGATACAGAGGGGGGAATCTCCCTACAGGGGATACACCCATGTCACTGCCCCCCCATGTCGCTGTCCCATGTCTCTGTCCCCCCATGTCCACATGTCACTTTCCGCTCCACATGTCACTGTTCCCCCCATGTCGCTCTCCCATGCCCCCCCCATGTCACTGTTCCCCCCATGTCGCTCTCCCATGTCACTGTCGCTCTCCCCCCCCCCATGTCGCTCTCCCATGTCACTGTCCCCCCCCCCCATGTCCTCCCCCATGTCATGTCGCTCTCTCCCATGTCACTGCCCCCCCCCATGTCGCTGTCCCATGTCACTGTCCCCCCATGTCTGCCCCCCTCCACATGTCACTGTTCCCATGTCACTGCACCCCCCCATGTCACTGTTCCCCCCATGTCGCTGACCCCCTCCCATGTCACTGTCCCCCATGTCACCCCCCCCCCCATGTCGCTCTCCCATGTCACTGCCCCCCCCATGTCGCTCTCCCATGTCACTGTCCCCCCCCCCCCCCATGTCGCTCTCCCATGTCACTGTCCCCCCACTGTCACCCCCATGTCGCTCTGTCCCCCCATGTCCCCCCCCCCCATGTCGCTCTCCCCATGTTCACTGTCCCCCCATGTCCCCCACTGTCCCCCATGT